TATATACTATATATATATACTATATATATATATATATATATATATATATATATATATATATATATATATATATATATACTATATATATATATATGTATATATATATCCATACATATATGTGTTTGTTGTTGTTATACATTATACTTATATATATATATATATATATATATATGACTTATTATACATACATATGCATTCGTGTACACTTTTAGATAGGCGTGTAAGTACGAGTACATACCAACGCAAGTTCTATTGTGATTACGAAGGGTGCACAGGGACAACTGCGTCTGTATTACAAGGACAATAATTAAGGGTGTGTGCATCACACTGCTGCACAAATGAGTCGACAACATCTCCGCAACATAGTAACCTAAAGCGAGTAAGCTACGTAAAACTACTGATTAGCCATATAACTCCGGGGAAGTGCGTGCTTTCCGCTGTGAGAAAGCGCGGCATATGTAACCATATATCCTCGGGAAATGTTTGCAACCAACTATCATACGTCCTTGCTGCTTAGTAGTTACTGTTGGGGTCCTATTTAGCTTTGGTTTCCAAGATTCAGCATATACAAATATATGTATGGACTAGACTCATGTGACGAATAATCGGATGCAGCACCAAGTATAGACACCTACAAACAATTTTCAAGCCTTCTCGCTTCACCAGAGCCATATGTTGCGGTAAACGAAGCCGATAAGGTGTGGATGGAAAGTAGCCGACACGATGAGCGTATATAAAGTACAACTAAAATATGAGCCGAGAATTGGCTTTAAACAGTGTGTGTATAACGTACCAAATCGGCTTATAGTTAAAGCAAAGAGACGACGCCTGTTCAAAAAGCTACGAAATATATTGCAGCATTTTAACAATATGCAACACTCCTCGGGGGGATGTTAAACCAGAATCCAATGCTTATAGGGAAAAATTGTTGTTCGTGTCCATCGACTGGTAGAGGCTGCTAGAAGAGCTTATGCTAGGTGCACACGCCGTATCAACAGAGTGTTAAACCGACACCAAAAATATGGTCTTGGATTACTTAGGCGCGGATGTCTAAAAGTGATACCAAGTTTAAAATCATTGCCACTTGACCTTGCACAGCTTCTCTCAAGGGGCGACCCCGATCTATTCGAGCTATGTATCTTTCCAAGGGTAATCTACACCCAAATTGGTCCAGTACATAAATGTGATAACCTACTTGAAATGACAAGCTTTCCATACGAATAATTGCTATTGAACTCATCAATTAGAGATTAGGCGTGTGTACATTGGTTGATCGTCCTGTAACATTTACATCTGAGACACATACATGGTTGCAAAGTATTATTACAAGAAACAATAATCTGAGCTACAGATAATTGTACCGCGAGGCTACCATAACTTGGTTGCTCGTGTTGCGCACCCGGGCGGGACAATGTACACAGTTCCCTTACCGATTTGAAAGTCTGTGTAAGTTCTGAACATAATCTCATTCTACGCAAGCTTAGGTATTGTTGTACTATAGCTGACTCTTGCGTCTCCCGTGTTTCCTGGGAGTATTCCAAGTCGAATTTCAGCTGCCGGCCGATCCACCAATTCCGTGTATGTATTCATCTGGCAGCGAGTGGTTCTATTTGTCAATAGAAGTCGTCTAAAGACATGTATAGTCCCAATTAGAGTTCCGTCATAAGATGGCAACTACTGGTTGCGTCGCAGAACAATCTTACATGGAATATGTACGTGTCGTGGTACTTTGTTTCCTTAGACGAGAATAGCAGGGCTGACGCGATGCATGGTTGCTTGAGCGCGAACAAACAATAGCGATGGAGTAGAATTTAAACTGCCGCATGACCGCAACGCTTTCATTGAATGAATTTTCTTCATCTGACGAAATCAAACATAAAAGTACTGTGTAGCATGACCCGTACTTGAAGTTCTAGCTCGCATGGCGCAACCAACGTTCACCACAGGTACAAACTGACAGTGACAACAATAGCTAAGAGGAACAACTTGCACATTTGTAGCAAGGTACACGACGGTATGCACGTGCGATCTGCACATACCCGCTACTGTCCTTTTATCGCTCCAGTAAATACGTTCACGTATAAATTCAACAACATAAGCTGGAGTCGAAATTGAAGCGTATGAATCCCAGCAACTGAGTACAACCGCTTCAGCTATTGTATACTCGGGTAGGTGCACCCCTGCAAAGCTTCACAGCATGGTACAAATGTTATTATGAGATGATATTTCAATCTATCGAGTACCCATGCGTTCCATCCAGATTGATGTCTCAACCGATTCGTTTCCATGTTTTGTCAACCCCAACGATTAGAAATGTCGAAACACAATGCCTGACTGCCATGTCCACGGCCCAGTCAAGGACCGACAGACGTTATACCCTATGTGGCCTGAGAGACATTCCCTCACTCCTGAATGTCCCAGATTGACCGCACACTGTAACAATTTCGCGTGAATGTTGGATAAAGGCACAGCCCCGAGCAAACATGAACCAGACTCTACTATTCTATTCCAAAACCTTCCAAGATTGTGGCGATACCGCCATTGTCAGGTACTCGCACAATACCAGCCACCCATTGTAAGTCGACAGATTAAATAATCCTAATCACCAATTATTATGAAATGTAATACTTGGAAATCGTACTTCTCCTTAGTGCGTTTAGGATCGCATATTTCCTAGTAAGCACGACTTCGATACACGCTCAGTTTGATTCGCAAACATTCACATTCAACATCACATGATCCCGTTCATTTAAAAAACCGGCCATACTGGTCACAACCACCAACACACAAGGCATTCAGTGACAGTGTAAAATAAACGAATACATAGAAGAACGTGCCTGAGACGCATCCACTGAGATCATATTCGGACATCTACCGATACCACAACGGCGGCATGGACACGTGCACACAAACATTGAAAGCAGATCATAGACACGTGCATACAAACATTGAAAGCAGATGCACACCATCGCAAAATTCATGGATAAACATGTCACAGAGCTTCAAACTACGCCTGCGCGTTCTTAGTTGTAATTGAAGCCTTCGGTTATCGCCACGCGAGAGTATCAGCTAAATTTTTACTTGCTATATATACTATATACATTCGTGGTTCTCTATTTCTTAGCAGTGGCCGCTTTCTTTTCTTGAAGTTTCGCCACCTAAATAAATGAAAACAGAAAGTCAGATGTCTAGTTAAGATGGCGATATGTAGCACTGATAATATGTGAACTGGTCAAGGTGTAGACGCGCTCGATTGTTCGACTTTCACGAACGAATGTCAAAAATCGTATATCAATGTACAAACTAGCGTACACAACACAGGACGTAAGAATGATTGGGCTCCATTGTTAATGTGCTGATGGGGTTTCAGCGACCACGTATACACACAAAAACAACGAATCACTTGCATACAGCCCGGAGAACATATCAGCAGTAGGCTATTGGGGCATCTTTTTGGAAATTTTAGATAGATCACGTCACATACGTACACTTGCTTAAACGACGCAATTGAAATTGACCTAACAAAGACTTCCCAACTTTGACCAACATACAATTAGATTTTCGCATCTCCGCTTACAATTATGATGGATCACATAGGCAATTAAATGCTGACAAGACATCACGCATTTGCACTACTTCACCGCTACGATAGAGCGATGGAGACTGCTCGCACGGTGTTTCTTGAGATATCCCGTTTGTACAATTTAACACGGGGCATTCTGTGTAGCGTCCGCTATGTACCACTGTACATCAACTCAACTCAAGCACACACTGAAATACTCAAGCATATCAGAATATTGTTAAAACAGCCTACCTTCTGCTTCTTCTGCTCCTTGCTGTACATGATCTTATTGTACAAGTTCTTGTGTTTCTTGCTCATCATCATGATGGCCAGCTCCTTCTCTTCCGCGGCCGTATCCGCCGCTACGTCCCGCTTTCGCTTTTGTGACGTACCGGTTTCCTTGTTCGTATTCGAGAACGCCACACCCTCACCTTCGGCCTTAAGTTCCTGGGCGTACTTTTCCTCTGAATCTACATCCTCGTCCTCGTCACCTGCCACTTCACCTTGTACCTCTGCTGTGCTGCCAGACACAACATCTGAACCCGGCACGTAGTCGCCTTCGTCATACTCCACGAAGGGTGAGAGATGAGGCGGTAGTACACAACCCGGGCCGTACTTCTCAGTGTTGAGAAGCGCCTTGGCGTTGATGCAGTCGTAAACCCATTGAGGCTGTACGTACTCACGGTTGTACTTGGTGGTATCCACACCCGGCCTGTCGACTATCTGGTGTGTGATGGTATCATCGTCCTCAGCGTATGCATTAGACACACTCTCATACAGACGTCCCCAGGACACACGCCCGCCCATCGAGCGGATCGCAAACTCTAAACTCTCTGTGGGCACCTCGCGGTTGAGGAAAAACTTGTACTTTGAAAATAAACTGCGCATTAACTGCGTCTGCTTCTCCTGCGCACGGGCCTCCTCTAGCCCATCAATCTCATCACTGCCATCGGCCACAGCCACAAAGTTATCTAACTGTGTGCTGTCATCCTGCACCTCAGCGTCTGTGCTGGCTGTGTTTGTGGTCTTCTTATCCTCAGCCGCCTGCTCCTTGACAATTCTATTCAGAGCCTTTCCAATGCTTGCGATTCTTCGCTTCGAGTCCTGTTTCATGGCCTCGGTATCTCCGTTCTGGTCCGCGCTGGCATCACCACTTTCCTTCACACTAACACTCACACTAACTACATCATTCTCGCCTTCTTTCTCGGGTTTACCTTCCGCTTGTTCAAGCAAAAGTGACCCCAAACCTGCATCAGCCGATTCTTTACTAACATCTAGTGCGGGTGGGTACCTGATGTTTATGTGCTGGTATAGTTTGTAGTTCACAAAGCCCATCATTGTGACGTAGAACTCGAGGAACGTCAGCATGACGCGGAAATCAACATCATCAGGAACCTTCTGATTGAAGTTGTATGGTGCAATCCAGGTAATGGTTTGGCCCATAATCTCGGCCTGGTAGTATATACCTTTGATAGACAAGAAACATTTGCGCAAGCTACCAGATTCAATCACATAGTTTAAGAACTCTCTTGACACACGCTCGCAATCATTCACAATTGATGCTTTGACACGGCCAGACCTGGGCATAACACGGAACAAAAACAGCATGCACAATGCATCGTCCAGGTCTCTGAGGGAGTCTACGAATGCGGGATATCTCTCCTTAACTAGATGGTCAACTGTGTAGTCTGGTTTCTGGTCCTCTAGACGTTCTACGGTATCATCGTCACGCTTGCCGAGGGCCTTGTTGACACGTTTGACAAAGGTCTTGAACTCGCGGAATTTGAGCAGTAGAGGTTCGTGTAATAAGTACTTGATGTCTTTTGTGTAGTAGTATGTGGAGTTTGTGTTACCCTTGACACTCTTCTTATTGCTGGGCTCACGAGGATATATACCTTTAAGTATACACAATCGTCTGAAATCGGGCAGAGAAAGTTGGAGTTTTCTCAGAGCCTGGTTACGACTGATGAAGTTGGTCGCCGCTCCACGAGTCCCTTTCTTTATCAAGCGCCCCATATTGGTTAGTATATGCTAGTTACGATAGAAACTATGAGCTATGTACGTATCTATCTAAGCTACTAGATCGACGACTTTACTTGGAGGACTCTGCAATAGGCACTGATAGCGATGTTCATGTGCACATCCACCAATGTACCTTAATTATTCAATGATTTCGATATTTTCTTGTACTTTTTATATATATTATTTTGTATCCACGTGCACACCCACAAGAAGCCGACTACATATATTAAATCATGCCCCCAGAATATTTTATAATCGGACTCGATCGCACCTGTATAGGGCTCAATCGCATCAATAAAAGGACTCAATCGAACCTTTATTAAAATAAAAGCCACACTTTAATATTGTAAAAAGAAGTACATACAAACAGTTAACTGTTGTCGCGAGCAGAAGTCAGGTTTCGTTGTAGCGGAACTGTAAATTTAAATAGCAGAGTTTCTATCCAGAGAGCCGAGCATATTCATGGCCCTTTGGATTATCATCAGGGTCGCAAGCAGAAATCTGGTTTCTTCCGACGACATCGTAAAATTAGCAGAGACCCAAATCCCCATGGCATATTTATTTTTAGTCTCAGTCTCCTCTCAGTGAGTAGAATATTTAGGGCTGTCCTATTTTTTTTTAAAGTGATATTTAAAAAAATAAATAGTGTTCTGTCAAGAGTGATGACACTTTCAGCGTCACCGACTTTTATTGCTCAAAATGTTCAATCTACGTTGTGAACTGTGACATCCTCTTTATGCCGGACAGACATAACATCAGGACGTAAACAAAGTGCAGAGTGCGACGAAATATATATTTACACTGTACTTGGACCGCTCTGGCTACTATTGTCTGAATCACTTGATAAAATGGCGTACATATTATCGCTATCAAAGATGTATAAGGTAGGTGCTGAGATGAGACCGTGGAGAATGGCTCATGCAAACACGCTTATGCGAATGTTTGCGAACACACGCACTATCCCCACAAGCTCGGGCGTATATCAACTGAGCACACTTCGATCGATTTCCTACACAAGAGCGTATACAACCACGCCGTTCGACACAACAAGTGGCAGTTTCATCAATACCGCAGATAAAACAGATTATAATACTGAGGAAGCCCTGAGTGTACAAGTGGAACAATACTGGCGCAATGTGAATAAGTATCTAGACAATGACGATGGGAGCTATCTGGCTGAATCACGGGCCAAAGGGACGATGAATCCAGAAAACATCAAGGATCTAATAAACAAGTATGCCTTTGACTGTGATGTTGATTACTTTCTAATTCGTCAATTTTATTTCTGTTATAGTCTGCATTTTAATGCAAGAGTTTGACCAAATGGTTAACGACAATGTTGTATGTTTTCTTGTTTAAATATACGCTTAAACATATAGCAGATGTACATTTGTATAAACATGTATGTATCGACTTGATTTTCATAATGGGCAAATCATATCCACACAAATCATATATATATATATATATAGGCATAAATATATATATTTATATATATATATACATATATATAGACACACACACTCACATATATATA